GAGCATCTAGTACAATCGACTCGCGTCCTCCGTGCCCTCCCCTCCTCGGCGTCCCTTGGTCACTCGATCGAGCCGCAACTTTTCAAGCTTTTCTTGGTCGCGTTGCAGTAAGTAATAGTCGGAGGTCGGACTCGAAGGTCTCTCGGTCGCCGCGAGATTTTATCGTCGAAATATCATCGCGAGGGGAGGGAGGGAGGGGGTTGAGTGGCGTTTTTTTTTCTTCTTTTTTTTAATACTTCCATTGTACGCGTTCCGTCATAGTAGGTCAAGCGTTTGGCGGTGGGATTTCGGTGGGAAGAGAGACTCCTCCCTCCTCTTCCTCCTCCTCGCCGACCGCGCAAAGATGGTTTGCTTTGGTGGAGTTCGTTCGTGCGCCGTGTTTTTTTTTCTCCGCTTTTGAAAAAAAAAAAAAAAAAAGAAGAAAGAAAAGAAAGAAAAATTTGTTTCCTCTTTCTGTTACAGTGACGGGGTTGAAGCTGCTCGGCATAAACGTCCCGGCATACTCCCTTAGGGGCAAGAGTGCGCTTCTCGAGTGCAGGTAAGAGGCACTTGGACGTGGTGCAACGTCGTCGAACGGTATCGTTTTCAAAGGGATTCTTCTTCCCGCTCCTTCCACGCGTCTCGTTTTTCTTCCCCATCGATCCCATCGATTCGTCCCACGCCACCGAAATCATTGGCACGCAACGTGTGCGCTTACCGTATTCGGAAGGAAACGGGTTTGCCCTCGAGTGGCTAGATTTCCTTATCTTCCATTCTTAATAAGAGGACAGTATCAATTTGTAAATAGTTTTCTTTATTGGATCTATATTTATTTATCGAGGCTTGTAAGACATCAAGTCGCAAAATCATCTCGAGTTGCCATTGAAAACTTCCATTGAATGGAAACGGGTTTGCTCTCAAGTGGCTAGATTTCCTTATTTTCGATTCTTAATAATAACAATTTAATAATAAATATATTAAATTATTAAATAGTAAGGAAATTAATTAAATATTGAATCTATATTTTTTATCGAGGCTTGTAAGACGCACCAAGTCGCATACCCACAAAATCATTTCGAGTTGAAAACTTGCATTGAAAGGAAACGGGTTTGCCTTCAAGTGGCTAGATTTCCTTACCTCCGATTCTTAATAAGAGGGCAGTATCAATAAATAGTTTATTGGATCTATATTTCTTTATCGAATCACATACACGCAAAATCATTTCGAGTTGCCAACTTTAACTGAAAAACTCGTTGCATCAGAATTCAGAGAATTCCAGAACGCATCGATATAATACAAAAATACTTTGATTTATAAATGTAATTCGATTAAAATGATAATCGTATAAACTGTAGACGATATTTCGAAAATATTTCAGCTTCCAGTCTTAATTATCTTTTCTACTATGCACTACTACTCTCGAGGCTCGTTTCCATTCGAAGAATCGGCGCGATCGCGAGTAAAACAGCAACCTAACGTGATCGTCCCTCGCCGTCTTGGAACCGCGGGAT